TGCAAATGTCTTGAACCTAGCAACAGAAAGCAACAAATATAGTGTTACTGATATTTTTTTCCATGCCACAACTAGTAAAAAGAACCCAAAGAAATAGTATGGATTATGTATATTGATCTTCTACTAGAAACTTGTTAAAATCACCTGAGTTCTAATAGTTTGTTTCCATGTTCTTTTGTATCTTCTATGTAGATAATAGTATTTGTGATAATAGCATTTATTTTTCCTTTCGTTTTCATACTTTGATTTTTCTGTCTTGTGCTGAGTAAGATTTTCCTTCCATCAGAAGTGATAGTAATGACCATCTTTCTCCTACTTCTCTCCCGAAGAGAAGTACATCTAATAGTCTCCCATCAAGTATCATATTGGCTGCAGGATTCTGACAGAATTATCAGGTTAGAGAACTAATCTGTATTCCAAATTTGTTAACCGAATATTTTTTAAAATGAGTGATTGTCACAATTCAGCAAGCACTTTTTCTGCATCTATGCAAACTGTTACACTGTTTTCTTCCTGGCCCTTCAGAGCTTCCTCACACCTGCATCTTGCTGCCCCTCCCTGACCTAGGACACCAACTGGACTTGTCTCCACATTACCTCGTGGTTAAGAGGTCTGCCATCACACGACAGCATCTTTTGGAGCTTCCAACTTGGGAGAGGAAAAGGCCTGCTTCCTCAAAGTATCCCTAAATGTTTTCCCTATGCTGAGTTGGAGGAAAAAGACAGTGCTGGGTGGATTCCTTTCAGCCCAACCTCAAGAAGGGGCAGGTCTCTGGAGTGTGAATAGGTGTAGAGTCTAAGCTGCAGCTGCCTTCCACAGAGTTTTGTCTCCTCCTCCTCCTCCTCCTCCCCTCTGCAAGCTGGCAGGGAAAGGCAGGCCTCTGACTCTCTGAAGGAGAGGTACCTGCCCACTCGCAGCAGCTGCAGCTGCCAGCTCCCAGGTTCATATTTCTCATACTCAAATTTCTCCCCCACTCTCTCCCTCCTGCACCTGGGATGGAGAGAACTCCAGTTACATCTCATCCAGCACTGCAGGAGTCTGTAAAGGACAATGTTGCTTAGGCTATCTCAGCTGTTCATCTTGCTGACAATTTTATTTACTTTTTAAACAGCAACTCTATGCTGGCACAAAAAAGGTTTGAAGAGTCAACTTTCCAGTTCTTTTCTGGTTCTCTAGGGTAGTCAGCCTGTTCTCTGGAAATCTGACACCTGTGCGTGGACAAGCAATGGAAACTGGATGCAGAAGGGCCCAGCTCTCCCCTAATTCTGGCCATAGCTGTGATTGGTCTCCTGTCAATTTCCCCATGTGGGTGAGGCACAAGCACTGCTGAAACTTGCATGCTGGGATACTGTGTTCTAGGCTGCTCTATACCTGTTTGGAGACCAGATGACTTTAACATGGGCCTTGAGGCTGGACATCCTAAGGGCTTGTTCTCAGCATCACCAAACATCACAGAGGTGGGAACTGACAGGGACAGAAGTAGCAGGCCAACCTCTGGCCTCTCTTCCACCTAGCACAGGCTTGGAATTCCTGGTAATGGCATAGGCACCATTTTAAATACTTAGAAATATATGGACACTGTCAAGGGACTCCTTGACCTGGACAGGTAATCCCTGCACCTTCATCCTCAAAAACATGGCCAAACCTGCCTCGTACAAAGACACTATACTGTGAACCAAACACGAAGGTGTTTGGTGGGCACAGAACTATTAAGGATGTTTCATAGCAATGTCCCATATCACTATTTCTTAGAAAGCTGACAGTGCTGCCCTGCTGGGCACCTGTGGCAGATGGGCTTGCACTGAGGTCTTCTGAAAGGAAACTTACTAAGGGTGAAAGGCATTTTGATTCCTGCAGCTGAACTAGAAAAATCAAAACAATGCTCCAGTATTGTTATGGCTTGTGTTTAGATGTTCCCCCAAAGCTTTATCCAATCATGCATGGGGCTTTTTCAGAGGTGGCTGGATCTACAGTGTGTGATGCTGTGATTGATTCATGGTGCAATGCTGGGCTGAAGGACACTAGGATTAAGAAAGTGAGTGCTACCTGCCCTAAGTAGCCTGGATAATATATAAGAGTTAGAAAGAGCTGTGGTCAGGGCCAGGGATTTAGCTCAGCAGTACAAGTGCCTGCGTTGCAAGCACAAGGTTGTAAGTTCAATCCCAGTACCAAAAAATAAAAAATAAATAAACAAATAAAAATTAGAAAGAGCTGTGGTCATCCCTTGTGTTTTTTGCTACCTTCCACCTGCCATGAACTGTTTCTTCTCTGTAAGGCCTGTCTTCCATATCATCCTTCCTTGGAGCCAGCTTTACAAACTGTGAGCTAAATAAACCTTTCATCTTTTAACTTTGGGTGTCAGGTATTTTGTCTCAATAACAAAAAAAGTAACTAAGACTGAAAAACATGTGTCATCAGTGTGAACTGTCCAGGGTCAGAGAGAAGGAGATAGGCATGTGGCAGCTCCACTTCTTGAGGATGTGGGAAACCCAGAGTGGAGCACAGAGGTGCCATGGCCCTAAAATAGCTCCATGCCATACACCTGTGTGCAGTGAGAGCTGTACCATAGACTGGAGCCAGAACACTGGGACGAGCTACCTCAATGCAAAGGCCACAAAGAGGTGGCCAGTCTTACTCAGCTCGGAAGCCACAACCTAATTTCCCCGGTTTAGTAGTGTGGTTTAGTAGTGGGTTCATCCTGACACAAATGATTGCCCATAACCTAATGTATCATCTAACAGTTTACACACACACATGCCAGGGCGGAATAAGGAACACATGAGAAGATGTCAGGCAGTGCCTGTGCTTCTCACATGGGTGGCTCGTTGCTGAACCTCATCACCTGATAGCTGAGAGTGACCAGGAAACCAAGCTCCCCACTGACATCAGCATCATCTGCCTTCCCTTGAGGCCACCTGTCCAGCACATCTGTACCCACTCAGTAGGGCTGACACATCTGCAACATCAACCACTTGTAAACTTCTGTCATCCACAACACAGAAATTAATTCTTGGCCCTCGTTTTGTATTTCTACCCACAGATGCTAAACATCTGCAAGAGGTACAAAAGAGCAGTCTTGTTCCAAAGTAATTGTCAAATCCATAGCATTACATGAGGCCTTGAGACCTTGATCTTGGCCCACCTACAGGTTGGTGGCTCTCACAGAGTTCAAGAGGCATAGCCACCAGAGCATGAAGCACACTTAATGCTTACAGTCCCAAGACACTTGAGCCAGTGCCCTGATGTACCATTTGTGAGAGGGATGGAGGGACTCATAGGAGTCAGAACTGAGGATCCAGAAAAATGTACCTGGCCCTAGGAAGTGGTCCTAGCAGCAGGTCCTCTTGTGGGATGTTACCCGAGACCTCTCCCTGCCTTGTACGCACCAGTGTGCTGCATAAACACAGCACCATTATGTGCACTGCTAATTAGTGTATGTACTGCAAAACCACAGCAAAGAATACATGGCATTCATACTGCCAGAGGATGGAGATGGTGCAGCTTTCATAGAGGTTAACAGAGGGCACAGTTGCCTCATTCTATCCCAGCATACCGCACTGAGCACCCAACAGTCCTGCACGTGAGCGAGGAAGAAGGCTAAGCTGAGGAAAAACACACACCCACGGTATGTCATCTGTCAGATGGCTTCCAACAACTGCCAACCTCCTGTGTCCTGGCGGGGTAACACTTCCTCCCGTAAGTAAGCCCTGTGCAGAGCCTCATTTCGTCCCCACACCAACCTGGAGAGGCATCCCATGTCTGGAGCATCCCCTTGTCCAGAATGGCAGGGCAGTGAGTCACTTGGCCACATGCCTAGGCTTTGCACAGGGCACAAGACCTCAGGGACCTGCTTAGCACTGGGCTCAGAAAGCCTGACCGTGTAAGGGAGTTAGCATCTAGGAGGACATAGGACCATCAGGGCCAGGAACCAGGGCTCAGCACTCCCTTCTAATCTCCTGGGCTGACTTCCATGAAATTCACTCCTTATTCTACTCCAAGGGTTCCAGTAGGATTACACCCAAAATGTGCTACTATAGCTGGGACCAATAGAGACAACACAGTTCCCTTGGGGTAGTCCTCCTTTCTTCCCTATTCCTGTTGGGGTTCTACCCAGGCCTTTATCTGGAGGCTATTTAGCAAGGAGTTGTCGGAAAATCTTCTGGGACCCAGGCTCTCGGGGTAGCTATAGTAAGAGGTTCCCAGAGTGGGATTTTGGAATCCAAGGTGGGGTTCTGGAAATTAATCACTCATCCTCCAGCAGGAAGAAGATGAGTGCAGGTGGAGGTGTGAGCTGCAGGGTCCACTTGGCTCCCGCCATCTATGTAACTCAGGGCTGGGTTGGAGGTCCCAGATGGCTTCAAGGGGCAGCTTCAGGGACCTTGTACAACCCAGAGCACATGACTAGTCCAAAAGTCCCTGTGGCAACAGACAAAGAGGGGGTAGCCTTTCTTGCCTGAAGAAACAGGACATTTGGCCAAGGCTGTCACACACAGAACCCAGCTTTTCCTTCCCAAGGTTCATTCCTGCTCATAGATGAGAACCTATGGTGAGCAGGAGAAGGGATGTGGAGTCTGTGCTCCAGAAATGAGGCCCGTGGATACTCAGAGCCTCCAGGACACATGCACGAGTAAAGAGTGAGCTGTGGACTGCACAACAGAACTTTTATTGACATGAGAAGTTCCTTCTGTGATGTAGAAGCTAATGTCCTTGTAGGAAAGGGCAGTTGAAACCAGCTGCAATGTGCTGTGTTGACAGCTTTTGATGCTTAGGCCATGTTTCCTGGGACCCAGTGGGTAGCCCTTGATTATGACAGTACCAAGCACTAGGAAGTATGGAAAGAGCCCTTGGTATTCATAGAAATGACAAAACTCCAGGATAGCAGAGGCTGGTGGTACCTCTAGGGAAATGTGGAGTCAGTTGATGACAAGAGTATGACCTGATGTGCACAAGTAGAAAACAATGGAGAATGAGTACCCAGAAGAGAGAATCTCAGCTCTTACCAGGTCAAAGCCATAGTATAGACTGAGAGCTCAGGAAACACATGGAGAGCTGATCTTCTGAGAAAGAAAATATCACATGGATGGATCACAGCTATTTCCCAATTTTCTCCTGGAATCCGTATCTTCACAGCAGTAACTGCACCTGCAGGAAGAGAGAAACTCAGGCCTCCTGAAGGGACTGGATATGAGGCCTGAGGTAACACTGACCCCAAGGGACCACAATGCCTTCATGGGTTCCCAGTGATGGGGGGGGGGTGGAGGAAGTCCTGCCTCCTGAATACAGAGCTGTTCCAGGTCCCACAGTCTCCAGCTTCCATGCTGGGCTCCTTCACCAGCAGACATAGGCAGCACATGGGTCTCAAGAACACACATACATCCTAGCTGAGCCATCGACAAGAAGCACCTTAACGAAGGAAAAGGCTAAGAAATCATCACCAGCTGCTCAAAGGATCAGGGTGATGTCCCTGTATTCCCACTTTGTTTACTTGGAGGCCCCCAAGAAGGAGCCAGACACTCACAGCAGATGCTGGGAGCAGCACCAACCATCTTAGTGGCTCTAGGAGCAGTTGCTGTTCCAGACACAGGACCTTCACTGCAAACTGGAAAAGCCCAGATGCTCCTCATGCCACTATTAACTCTGTGACTGGTTTCCTTACCAGTCCCATCAACAAGGAAGACAGAAAAGTTTGCTTTTATATGGAAAGAATAGCAATCACCCCTGCCCCACATCTCTGCTAACACTCAGCTGTCTGCAGTGTATCTCAGGCTTATGGTCATCTTGGTGACCAGAATATCTTGCTAGTCCAGTTCTTGAAGGCAGCATGCTGACTGGACCTGTACCTAGTTAACACATTTGTGTTGCAAGTACAGCAGAAAAACTACAAAGATTCAGACACCTTCAAATAGCAGCTCAGACCACAAGCCTGCATCTCATTTGCACAAGCAATTATGTATCATTGCTCTAACATGTATGAGGTAGATTGAAAATTCAACATACCCACTGCAGAAAAGTGACACCAGGTATATTTACTAAAATTAAGAGATATCATGTGATCTTAAATAAATTAAAACGAGAGGTTTGGGGCTGGGAATTTAGCTCAGCAGCATAAGTGCCTTGCCTAGCAAGCAGGCAATCGTGAGTTCAATCCCCGGTACCGATAAAAAGGAAAAAGACAAAAAACAAAACAAAAAACAATAACAGAAGTTTATAAAACTAAAACCATATATATCAGAAGAGTCCATGTGAGAGCCCTCTACATAGCCAAAAGAATGTCAAAGAAAGTCAACTAATGTTCTGGCAAGGTACAGCTGAGATGTAGGATAATAAATGACCCGGTCACATGCCCTCAGAGCAAAGCAGACCTTGTAGGTAAATGGATGCAACTTGTGATCATGCTTTTGGGTGAAATGGCTCGGAAATGGAAGTGGATAATGAGCCCTTTGTCCCTCCCTCCCCGCGCCAGCCCCTTACAGTAATCCTAACCTTAACTGTAGCCCTCAGCTTGAGCCTTGCCCTACCTCTAACCTGCTCTGGTGGAATACTCACTCTTCCCTACACAAACCCCTTCCTCTAGCCTTAATCGTAATCCTAATCTCACTCTATGGAATATCCCCTCTCCCCAGCACCAGGCCCCTAACCTCACACTCTTTATGGCTCATAGATTTTGGTTGTATGCAGCGCTGTTCAAAGAAGGAATCCGTCCTTCTTTCAAGGCTTTTAAAAAGGTCAACTCTTCATTACTACAGGGGCAGAGTATGCAGGCAATACAAGGCACTATCAGCTTCTCTATACCTAGGAACAAGCCAGGAAGGTGTTCTGAGAATTCATTTGAACCCAGAGCAGCAAGAGAGGCAGGAAGAACCATGCCTTTCACCTCCCCTGTAGGGCTTTTCCAGAGTGTGAGGTCTGCCCTCTGGGGATGGTTTTTTTTTTTAAGACAGGGTCTCTCTATGCAGTTGAGGCTGGCCTTGAGCTCACTTTGTAGCCCAGGCTGGTCTTGAATTTGCAGTAATCCTCCTGCCTCAGCCTTCAGAGTGCTGGGATTATAGGCATGCACCCCCACACCTGCTTTTTCTTTTTCAAATCCATTTTATTCAAACATAAAAACAAAGAAAAAAAAGAAGAAAACTACAATACAATTTCAAAGCATATCAATCAGGGGGTAACAATGGTCCATTACACTGCACGTTGTCATCCTCTGGGGACTTTTTTGAGGACATAAGATTAGCAGACATTTGAATTTCAAAGTATTTCTCTGTGCAAACTAGAGACAACGGAATAACAGCCAGTAATTAAACAATCCACATGGAAAATCGTGAGCAGCAGAGGTGTCAGGGGTCAGCCACACTCATCATTTCTACAGGTGGCTCCTGGCACTCGATATTATCACTGTCCCAGCCTACAGGCTCTCAGAGAGAAGCTGGTGAGCTGAAGAACGCAGGGCCTGGTGAGGTGAGAGGAGGTGACCCGAGCCTATAGCCCACCAGGAAAAAGGCCAGGCTATACCTAGAGTTTCTGTCTCTGGGGCCATGTGTTAAGGGCTTGGTCCTGGGGTTGTGGCACTCCTGAAAGGTGATGGAACCTTTATGTAGGACACAGTTGGAGGAAGTTAGATAACTGGAAAAGGCCTGCCCCTGAAGGGGTTCTGGGACCTGGCCCCTTACTCTCTATCTTTGCTTCCTGGCCATCATCAAGTGAGCAGCCTTCTCTGCCATCCATGCCCACTGTGACGTGCTGCCCCACCACAGGCCCAGAGCAATGGGGCCCATGGATCACAGAAACCACAGAGCCAAAAACCCTTTCTTCTTTGCATTACCTCAGGAATTTTGTTAGAATAATGGAAAACTGACTACCTCAAGCACTGATGACAAGAAATATGCAAGCAATGTTGTCAAAGGCAGACAGACAAGGGTAGCACATGTCCCTGGGTAAACAGCACTTGGAAGAGCGTTCAACTGGAATGATGTCCAATGTCAGGGTGAGGGGCAGGGGTCCAGGGCAAAGAGACTGCTGAAACTCCTCCTCAAAATACTGGAACCACACTTGAGGGGATAATGGAGCCTGAAGTCCAGTACCCCATAGGAAGAAGACTAATTCCCGGGCCCCATGCTTCCAGGTATGTGAGAGACACAGACCCTGGCAGAGAGAAGGATGAGGGCTTCTCAAAACCGGGGTGCCAAAGGGCAGCTCATTAGGCTTTTGCATCAGCTCATTAGGTTTCTGAGTTCAGATGGAATTTCTAAGATATGAAACAAAGACAGTGGAAGAACAGACAGACAGCAAGAGCAAGCATTAATTAAAATCAAGGCTCATGGCAACTCGCACAGCTCAGACTCTGCAAGCTGGCACGGCGAGCTTTTGAACGTGCGCCTATCCTCTGGCGCGCCTTCCCTCTGTCTTCCTGAGCTGATTCCATCATGGCCTCCAGGCTTTTTGGCAAAGCCTACTCAGTTTTAATTTCCTCCCAAATGTTGAAGAAAGCACAACACTGCATTCTAATTTACTCGTATGGCTCCTCAAACCACACGCTTTTACTGTTGTTCTCAAGATGAGTCACTGGGTACGTGGCTCTGTGCACTCCACACGGCATCAGTGGGTGGACAGCGCTTCTCACTGACACTCGGACAGTCCACTCGGCACCTGCTTCCCCACTCTCAGTTATTTGTGGGATCCTGAGAAGAGTCTACACTTTTGATAGTGATATATCTCCTTTCCTTCCATAGAATACACAACTCCTGTGGAGAAAACCAAGTATCCATCTCTCAGGTAAGGAGTCCAACCTTCAGAGAAGGAAAAACACAAACTCACCAGCCCTCAGAACCCTGGAATAGTGAGCCCCCAAACAGCCACCGCCCTCTGAATACAACCAGAGCATCCTCAAGTGAGGGATGTGTGTAGGTGTGTGTAGGTGTATGGGATCTCCCCTCCCCAGTCCCTCAGAGGCTGGGAGGCTTTGGGTCCAGTCTGGCTCAGGATGGCCAGCAGTGCTACTGTCAAAATTGAATATGCCAGTTATTCCCCTTCTAGGTACTTTCCCCAAAGAGTTAAAGGTGTCGTATTACCATGATACATCCATGCTCATGTTCATAACAGCACAAGTCACAATAGAAAAATCTTGGGCACAGTCTGTGTGTCTATCAATAGATAAGTGGATAAAGAAAATACAATATTTACACACAGTGGAGTATTACTCTGCCATAAAGAAGGATAAACTTGAGTTACTTGTAGGAAAATAGATGCACCTTGACACCATAATGTTAAGTGAAATAAATCAGACAAACAAGCTTAAATGCCACATGGTTCCTCGTGTGTGAGAAACCCAAACTATAAATACCAAAATGAAAGATAGGTAATAGGGAGTAAAGAGATATTTTGAAATAGTGAAGGGATCAAGAGATGGAGGGCAGGAAGAAAAGAAGATGGAAAAAGAATCCAAAAGTGTTGTGTATGTATACCTACTCCTCACAAGGAACATAATCATCATGTACTGCAAATATGTACTGAAAACTAAAAATAAGTCAAAATATCTTTTATGAAAAGAATTCATTATAGTTTCTTTAAAAAACACTATTTGTAAAACAGAGAGAAAGAGAAAGAGAGAGAGAGGAGAGACAGAGAAATAAAAGAGAATAGTGAGGGAGGAAAGAAGGAAGGAAGGAAGGAAGGAAGGAAGGAAGGAAGGAAGGAAGGAAGGAAGGACACAGTGAGAAGCCGTCTCCCTTTCCCTGGACAGCCTTCTGGGTGATGTCCAGGGTGCTGCCTCTTCTCAATCCTTTTCCTGATTTGAGCTCACTGATCACAGCTTGGCCTCACTGTTAGCCACTCTGGAGCCCAATAGTGAACCCACCTTAATCTATGCTCCTAACTAACCCTGCCTCCACTTGAACCTTGTCCTAGCCTTAGCATTGTCCCAACAGGACCAGCTGGTAGGCAAGCTGCCTGGTAGAAGCTCTGATTGGGCTCATGTCCACCCTTCCTGCACCAACCCAGCAGCCCCATCCTTCCTGACAGCTGGTCTGCTGCAACCCCTGCCCTCCTAACCCCTCAACTCCCATGTTGGTCTGGTTTATAGGAGAAGCTACATAACCGTTTTTCACACAGACAACCATTTGTAAAGTCCATCCCCTCACATGAGCAGAACT